GAAAAGATCTGGATTTCCACAGAAATGACCGGGTTTGCATATACAGAGCAACAACGTGAAAAGGCCATTGCACACAGCTGAAGTGGAAGAGATACCAATAGGAACAGGAGGCATTCACTGCCCTGCTGCTGGCTGTGACTGCTGGGCAGAGGAGGATCTGACTTGCCCTGGTTGCTGCCCTTCCAGGAATCTCCAACATCTTTTGCTTGTTCAATTTTAATTATTAAGTACATAATTACCTTTTATTTTCACCAAAGAGGAAGCATCTTCTCCAGGCCCTTTTGCCTACAAACACCCAGAGAACAAAAGGAAGAGCATGAAGCACACACGCCATGCTCCTGCACTGCTGGGATGCTGCCATGCCTGCTGCAGGCATGAGAGGAGTTAGAAACCAGCCTGGCTTTACTCTGTGGCCATCACAAGTGAGCTTTCAGTGCAGTTATGGACAAAAACTGCTCAGACCGAGCTGGAGAGCACGTCATAGCCAGAAGGGTGAGACAGAGCAGACCCAACCAGGGAAGATGCAAGCAAGTGGCGTATGAAGCTGAGCAATGGGAGCTAAGAAAGGAGCGGCTGAATTGCGCAAGAGGTTTAGATGGCAGGAGAGGACCATGAAGTGGACGTGGAAGAGACAAGAAGACAACTCTCCTGTGCTTGATGAAGTGAAGACCTGAGTCTCCTTTGACTTTAGTGCCCAGGATCAAAGCCACACCAACACAAGTGAGAGGCAGAGGAATGGCATGGCCCAGGACTTGGGATCTGTTCTGAAAGGAGCTGTGAAAGGACCTGAGGAGACATGGCAAGCAGGTGGCACTGGGGTGGGAGGGGAAGGCATTGGCTAAAAGGGGAAGTGGGGTTACTTCACCTTCATGACATGTGCTCTGTCCCAGAGAACACATGGTAAGAGAGGAAGATGACGATGGCCAGAGCACACTGAAGGAGCATGTGCACAGCACTGGCCAACCTGGAATGTGGCCAGGACACAACCACCACCCAGCACAGGGCTGGAATGCCCATAGCTGCAAAATTGGGTGTGTAAATAATGGCACCTGGACCAGCTGGGTGTTTGTTTGAAAGGTGAAAATGAAACTGGCCACTACCTGAGAGCACCACAGACATCTCCAAGGAAAGGCCATCAGAGCAAGTGTTTGCTGCTTGAGATCAGGCTCAGCAGAGTTGCCTCAAGCTTGTTTGTTGCTTCAAAGAGAGAAGGCAAGCGGGACAAATGGTGCTGGGGTCACAGTGATTCAGGACTTGCAGCATTTTCCACAGGGTGCCCTGTGGTGCTCCATGGTGAACCTGCCAACAGAAAATGTGCCTCCTCCTGGGTTGCCAAATCAATGCCCCGAGCATTTGTTGCTTCTGAAAACAGAGCCCCTACCACCTCCTGTAACATCATGAGGTCTTACTGCCAGTGACAGCCTGCATCGCTAGAGCTGTGGAAGCAGCTGGGATAGGTTCCCTCACAGCAGACATGGGAAAAACTCTCAAGAGTTTTAGTAACCTTAGATACACAGCAAACACAGCAGAAAACTGGAAACCCCTCAAAGAGCAAGATGGCATCCCACGTAGAGTGGGATGGTCCTCACTGACCAGTGACAGACAAGAGGAGATGCTGCTGTCACCAGGGCAGCATCAGTCCTAATGAGACTCGGTGCCTGATGGTGCCTCCTCTGGGAGCAGCATCCCATCCTCAGGAAGCTCACAGGACTGGTTCATCTTCAAAGCCATAAGCAGAGCTGCTTCTGAAGCAGCACCACCGTGCCTGGTATGCACTGGCTGCACAGCCAGGGGTGTGAGCAAGCACGGAGGTAGACCAAGGCAGCCCTTTGCAATGTAACTGGAACAAACCTTGCAGGCAGTGGTGCTGCTTCCCATGGCAATGAGGAATAGCGCAAGCAGCAGTTAAAATGGTGAAGACACATCTTAAAATGCTGTTTCTGTCTGAAGGGCAGCAGACACCTGGATGACCTCCATGTGTTCAGCACTGGGAGAGGCTGCCCGTGCTCACAGCCTGAGCTCTCTCCTGCCCGCCACCCTGAAAACCGCCCCACGCACGTGGCATTAGAGAAACCACTGCATCCCAGGCTGCTTCTGTGTTGGAAGCTTTCTGGAGGCACTTAAAATACAAATGTCTTGAGACTTCTATATTCTCAACCATTAAATAACACAAATGATCGCCATCTCTGGAACTAGTTATCTAGCCTGTGCAAAAATGTCGAGTATTTCAACCAAAAGCAGTCTGAATTTCGCAGCAGTGCTTAAAGAGCAAGGCTGGGCAGCTCCTGTTCGTCCCTGTGCCACATGTGAGTGGGAGAGCAGAGGAGCTTCGCAGGAAGCAGCGTGCCACGTCATAGAGTGCATGGCAGGGACGTTGCCGAGCAGGCTGTGCCCTCCTGAGGGAAATGCAGAGCTGTTCATCGGGTTTTATATTTTTAGCAGGTTTAGAAAATCCTGCTTGAGTTATTTCTGAAGCCTGTGGTATGTTTGCTCTCAAAAGTGTCAGCTTAAACCCAACCCATTCCCTGGGGACCACGCAGAAAAGCATCCCTCAGCTTCTGCTGGACCGGGAAACACAAATATGGGGACACTGCTGCAGAGACACCCCCACCCCACCCCACGCCAATAGCCGACATCGTATTTGATAATTTCTTTGTTCTGTAGGTCCTGCCAAATGAGGTTACATTTTATCCTGTTCCTCCCACACTTTGCGTAACCCACCCAGAAACCAAAGAGGACAAACATCTAAACCCTGTCCTCGGGGCTCTTTGTTTTCAAGGCAATCTGACAACTCCTTGGCCTGTGAGCTCTTCAGAGC